ATGAGACGGGATAACTTGACTAGCAGCGGACCGATCTCGATCACAGCATCTATATGTTGTTATGGTCATTCTGAAATGCCGGAGCAAAGTCTGTCGTCAAAGTATTTCTGTATAATTGTCTTACATGACTGTGTTCCCAAACAGCAGGCATCCACCTCCGAAAGCACTGACAGCATTTATTGTGTTACGTCTGCTCGCTCTGAAGCGCAAGTAATTTATTACATATGAAAATTATTATATTCAGTGGCTTCTCCTAGTTTTCTTAGAGATATTTAGTGCCAGTTTATCAGGAAGTGACGATTTTGTTCTCTTTGACTCGTTGGATGGAAACGGTGCTTTATTCGCAAATGTTTTATGCGATATTCCAGTTTTGCGCATAAGTTAAATTCGCAACTTTGGATGGAAACATAGCTATTGAAGGCTTAAAATAAAGCATGTCTAATGTTTAGGACAATTTGGATATTGTACTTGCTTGCAACATCACACTACTCTATATTCATATAAATAGTAGTCTTGTGTTTTTGAAAAGATATTGCTATTTTTACAAAGTCATTATACTGCCCAGCCCACCTTTTTACTTAATTGTAACTCTTAGTTACACAAAAAATATCAGTGTGTGTATAAATAGGATGTATACTTAAAATTGAAAAAGTGTTACAGATATATTCAAAATATTTGCCTTTTTTATTTAAATGAAATCATATTATTTGCATGCAAATGCAGAAAACTTGTTTAATTCCATTTTTTTTTCTTGTGCAATATATGGGTATCTGTTCAGGGAAGGACATTTCAGACGAGCTTTTTAAACCCTTAGAGTTGGAACAATCATGGGAGACAGCGGCAATGACAGGTGAACAGGAGCATATTTCACACACCTGCTGAAATGAAACGAGACTACATCAGTAATTGCCTATTAAGAGATACTGATTTCACAACATTGTCCTTTCTCTAAAACAAGCAGACGGACACACCGCATGCATTGAAGATGGAGTGTCTGTTGATGCTGTACCAATCATCACCACAGGTGAAGCAACTCATCTTTGGTCACTTTGTGAGACGCAGTTCACATGCATTATGTAGATATAAAACAGACCAGTCAAAATGTGCTTACTCTGTTCTTGTGACTCTGTATGTGAGCTGTGTCTCAGTGTTTTCTGAGATCAAGATTTAATATGGATGCAGACGTTTTGTTATGTGATTATTACATCGGCTATTACAGTATGTATACAAACCGTCTTTCTGTTTAGAAGCAGAGCATTTCACAGAAGACAACGAGCCAGGCCCAAGTACGTTATTTTCAAGCATCTTACATTAATCAGACTAAAACGGTTAACAGTCAACACAGTCATTATCATTGCATGTATTTGTTTAGGTGCAGCTGAAGAGGTCGTTGGGTCTTTAGATGGGCAGCTTGAGGAGATTTTTGGGATGCTGAAAAAGAAGCTGAATGAGGATGCAAGTTTTACACCGCCTATAAGAGCTTTTGTGTCCAGTTTCTTTCAGATAAAGACCGACAGTGCCCTTCAGGCATCACTCTTTTCCTTTGGTAAGACCACTCCGATAATCAATCAGATCAATGTACTACCAGCTACAGGTCCACGGAGGAGAGGGGCTTTGGCTGGACGAAGAGCTGTTGGCAGACCCCCGAAGAACTCAAGAAGAGAGCACCCATACTGCAACAGCAGATCCAACAACACTCCCCAAACTCTCACTTTCTGTTTGCAAGACAATAACACCCTTGAGAAAACAGACTAACCGTAGAGATCTAAAAACTGTTAAATCAATAAGCCTTGAGAAGCTTGGTATGAACATCATGAAACCTGAGCATTACAAGAAGAAATCAGTGTTTACCCTATTTACTTTATATTTTTGGACTTCAACAGTGCATGTTATAAGAGAAAGCATTCGTGGTTGTAATTTTGATCTTAATGTAATGACAGACTCCATTCAGGAATGAAACACCCACAAATCAACCAAAAATCAAGTTTCACCCTGTGTTTTTTCCCCCTCATTGAAAGTTCTGTCATATTATGTATAATAACTGCACCTATGCTGGCCAACATATATTTCAAGGTGTCCAGAGTAACTGTTACCATTTATTTTAACAAACCTATTCAAAGAGAAAATGTGCTTCTGATATCTCCATTGTCCAGACCCATGTAATGTGAATTACTGTCATATATGTCAGCCAAGTTTATTTATATCCAATACTGCATCAGGGCTCTCTGTAGTTGCGTTTTTAATGTGGCTTAAATTCTGGTACAATGTGACAGATGTTATTTTGACAAAATATAACTTGCTGTCACAAAAAGTCATGGATTTTGAGTACCATGAATAGGATGGTTTAAATAAATAGTGTAGTTGTGTTTTGTAAACAATGTACAAATAGCTTGTTGTGCTATTTTCATCGGAAGACACAATAAAATCCTGTTTAAAGTGTAGTTTTAGGATTAATACTGGCCTTTGTAAAGTACATTTAACAATAAACCTGTACAATCATGATTAGTACCTATATAGCTGTGACTAAAATCATTTAGTTCTGCAGCCTCTTTAAATGCAGTTATCACAAAAATAGATATGTGACCCTGGAGCACAAAACCAGTCTTAAGTCACTGGGGTATATTTGAAGCAATAGCCAAAAATACATTGTATGGGTCAAAATTATAGATTTTTCTTTTATGCCAAAAATCATTAGGATATTAAGTAAAGATCATGTTCCATGAAGATATTTAGTAAATTTCCTACCGCAAATATATCAAAACTTAATTTTTGATTTGTAATATGCATTGCTAAGAGCTTCATTTGGACAACTTTAAAGGCGATTAGATTTTTTTTGCACCCTCAGATTCCAGATTTTCAAATAGTTGTATCTCAGCCAAATATTGTCCGATCCTAACAAACCATACATCAATGGAAAGCTTATTTATTCAGCTTTCAGGTGATGTATAAATCTCAATTTAGAAAAATTGACACTTAAGACTGGTTTTGTGGTCCAGGGTCACATATATATTTTTTCAAAATTCACTAAAAGCAGGATGCCATATAGGGAACCTTTAATGTTTTATGAATTAGGACACCATAACCCTAATTTAATATTCTGTCTTAAGAATAGTTATGATTTTTCCAATAGAAATTTAAATAGATTTGCTTGTTGTCCACAAGAAAGGTGGATTATCCAAGAAAGCCATGCAGTTTATAATGCATTTCACATGTTAGCAACTGTTCCAACAAGCCATCAAGCCAGTCAAAATCTTTCCTTTGTTTATTTCATAGATGCTATACAAAGGTTATACAAAACAGCCCAGCACTTGTACAGATAAAAAAGGCTTTACATAGTATGGATAGAATATTTTGAATTCCCTGGTTTATTTGATTTTATTAAAAGCTGTGTTGTGATGCATAATGGCTGTGCAGCTTCTGTCTTGCAGTCCAGTCACATCTTTCCTGGGTCCTCCTTGAGTGTAACGGTTCTGTTGAACACCAACTGGGGAGAAAACGGTGACAAAGATGAAGCATTGTTTCCTCTACTGTTCGCTAATCTCTTTTAACATAATTGAGTGTTTCTAGACTTACCTTTTCAGATGTGCTATCAGGGTCCAGTGAGAAATAACCCACTCTCTCAAACTGAAACTTCTCAAACACTTTGGCCTTGCCCACAGAACGGTCTACTAAGGCACTTTCAATCACTGTTAAGGAATTCTAAGAAGGACAAAAAAGGAAAAACTGAGATTAGGTAAAACTATCAAATCTTTCAAAAAGTTGTAACCAATAAGAGGAATGTCTAAATGATTAGATTCATTCTCTGCAGTTGATGCTTTAGTTTAATATAGCATAAAATCATTAGTTTGTGTAGGTTAGGTAATCACTACTACCACTACTCATATACTTAGGGTTAGAAGTTTCTCAAATCTTCAGATCAAACATTTTATAGAATTTCTTCCCTTACAGGGTTAATGTCGCTCAAGAATCCAGCAGGAACTTCAGCTGGGTCCTCTGGGTTTTTATGGAGAAACCTACAGACAGAAACGAGAGAGACAGAGGATGTGACATAAAATATGATTAAAAGTAAAATTCTGGGGTTTGTCAATACACAAGGAGACTTACAGTCTTTCATACATGCGCACTTCACACCGCAGTGGATCGCTCACCCAGTGAATGAACGCTTTGGGCTTTTCTACAGAGTCTGAGCTGGCACACGTCACCTCTAGCTCACACACTTTACCACAGCCATCCTGACAGAAAAGGAAGATATTAAATAATATTGTCATTTATTTTGCGTTATTTATCAGTTAGTTGAGAGTTGACCCTTAATTTTGTCTGAACAAAAAGAGTCCTGATGTACAAACACTGGAACATTTCACTGTTTGTGTCACTCCAGTTGTCTGTATTTGCACTCTTCGGTTTGCTTGGGTCTTTGCTTCAGTGGTGGGAATTTTTTAGTGACTTTAGTGAATTGTTGCACCAGTTGGTGGTGACAAGTGAATACAATATTGTTAGTCAATCATTAACTCAACTGATTTGTTCAACACACCGAGTTATTCAGGAATAAAACAATGAAATGAGGTTGATCAAATTTCATAATATATACTTGGACAATTTCACACTGAAATGTAAACGGTCACTTCTCACTCATAATAGGGACGGTGGGCTCTAGCCTCTATTATTTTTTGAACGGTGCATCAACTTGTGAAATGAAAGTTGGCAATAAATTAAACAAATTACAATAACATTGAATATTAGTCATTATTACACGGCTCTGTGGAATACTTGATTCTGATTGGTCAGTCGCGACATTCCGAGGTATGCCATCCCTTATTATTACACGGCCCTGTGGAATACTTGATTCTGATTGGTCAGTCGCGACATTCCGAGGTATGCTATCCCTCGTTATTACACGGCCCTGTGGAATACTTGATTCTGATTGGTCAGTCGCGACATTCCGAGGTTTGTTATCCCTCGATAACAACCGGTAAAAGCTAATGACACCGGCTCATCCGGGTAACAGCAGTCGGCACTGTACTCTTGCTTGAACAATTTTTTCTTGGTGGAAGCTTTGCGTTTGTTTAGCTAATAAAATATTAAAACTCGATTCAAAATGGTGTACAATTATTTAATTATGTCATCCTGGTATCGCGGACTCGCTCTCGTTTCATACAAACGCAGCTGCTGCCATTTTGCTATGATTGTTTTGTACGCTGTAATGGATTATAAGAGAGCTAACAAACTGGTAAGGTTTTAAAACATTTTTGTCTTAATTCTTTTTAAGGCTGTCGCAATTCGTCGATTTTATTTGACTATTCGAATTTTAAAAATCCTCGACTTCATTTTGCTCGCGTCGACTAACCGGCAAAATACCGGAAGTGGCGCATTTCACGAACGAGAATCCATAAAACACATTATTAGACTTTCCCAAGGCTGCATGATATACAAAACCCATTTAGATTAATCGATAAATTAGTCGATAGATTAATCAAAATCAAAATAGTCGTTAGTGGCAGCCCTAATTCTTTTATTGCCTTAATTATTTTTGTGGTGAAATGTTGTGTAATAAGTGGTTTGACTGCACCGTTTCCCTTAAATGTCCGTCTAGTTTGAATTTGCCGCTTGCTCGCAACTGCTGTATTTACGGAAGCTTTGCATTCAAATATTTCAACTCAAATCAATATTTCACATCTAATTATTTACTTATGTGGCAAGTAGCCGTGTAATAAGCGGGATAATGTAGCATATAACAGACATGTAAGGGATAATGTACATCCAGCCGGTTGTTATCTCAGAATAAACCCCGACAGATCAGGACAACAGGAGATAACAACCGGCTGGATGTACATTATCCCTTACATGTCTGTTATATGCCTGAACTACGGGAAAGTGAGTGGTCTTTCACCTTGATGACACGCTGTACAGAGATGACGTATCCTGCATGTCTCAAGCCTACTGGCTGATCTGAAGTCAGGCGCTTGTAGCCCTTCTCCATCACCTGCAGCAAATACACATAAAACAGCAAAAACAGGGTCAGCTCTGTTTATATGGGATGCTAATTCAGTTCAAAACTGATCCATGTATGATTTTTTTAAATCTTAAAAAAAAAAACACCTCTCTGAAGTCACTCTGCTCAATAAAGATGGTCTTTGAGAAGGGAACCACGTGACTGCCCTTGGCTTCATTGGCTGGGAAGTCTGGGACTCGAACCTCCTTCTGAATAGAGGATAAACAAAGCAGTGATCTACTGCAGTTATAAAAGTACATTTATGCACCCATCTAAATATCCTAAATTATCATTTACTGTTGTCCATAGCAACATTTCAGTGCTACCTACAGTCAAGACAACTAGCAACTACAGTAAATGACCTCAGAGGTACAGTATTATTTTTAATAATGAGCATAGATCTATAAAAAGAAAGAAAGAGCTGAATGACGGGAAACTAAAATTACCTTACATTGATACCATGTACTAATTAATGGAAAAAGCAACACATTATTTAAATAGAAATAAATACTATAACATTGTTTCAGTGTTTGTCTTTTTGCAAGGGAGATTTTATGTGTTATAGCAGACCATTCTTTAAACGTAAGCTTTTAGCTAAACTAGTTAGATTTAACCTAATTAAATTTAATTACATTTACTCATTAAAATATTAATTAAATTAATATTTAATTTTCATCAGTTTATTTATTCGATAAGTAGCCACTTAATAAGCAGAATAATTGACTTGCAGCCAGTCATTGCAGCAAAACTGACTGGCTAGCTGTATATTGTTACATGTAATGAACACTTATGAACTTCTGCATGTGTTCACCTGTGCATTGGTTGGCAGGTTGGTGATGGTGACTTTGAGCGGCTCGAGTATGGCCATGGCACGAGGAGCGGTGTCATTGAGCGCCTCCCTAACACACGCCTCCAGCAGGTGCGGCTCCATGGTGGTCTGCGCAACAGTCACACCCACCTAAAAGAGAACAAGGGATGCTGACAGAGGGTAACCGTTTCTAATAGTTGTTAACCAATACATCAGTAATGGATAAAAGGGCCAACATCTGGTATTCTTTAATTATAAGCACCAGCCATTGAGTTTTCCTGTTAGACAGTTTAGCGTTGAAAGCAAGACTATTTAAACTTCCACAGTCAAGCAGAGATGCACACAACTTCTATTAAACAATATAACAATTTTAATATTTTGTTGATATTTGGCAAATAAGCAGCTATATCATTTGACATATCACATAAGTCTTTGAATGGCTATTAAAGATTTAATTGACCTAGCAAACTTTAACAAATCCAACTATTAGATCAGTGGTTCTCAACCTTTACTCCAAGCCCCTTACATAAATAAAAAAGTAAAAAGTTTTGGTTTATATTATTTAATTTAAAATCTATCAGCGATTAATAGGTGATCAGCTGGATTTTCCAATTTTACTTATTGTTATCATCATCAGAAACCAGTATCGGTGGACCTCTAGTGGTGATCGTTAGCTCATGCTACCATTCAGTCTTTCACATACTATATGTTGATTTGTACTACTTGTGACATAATACAATGCCACACCATTTTTCTTTTGTTTTTGCATGTTTTTTTTTCTCTCTCTCTCTCTTACCCGGGCACAGAAATTGTTAATAGCTTGTGAAGGGAACCCACGTCTCCTGAGAGCTGTGAGGGTAAAAAGTCGTGGATCATCCCAATCTCTGAAAAATACAATACAATAGACCAACACATTACAATGATTTCTAGTTCACAATGAAATGACCCACAAAAAAAAATTGTATGTACGCGTGTTACCTAACAATTCCTGTTTCCACCAGTTTAATGATCTTCCTCTTGGAAACAACAGTGTAAGTGAGATTGAGTCGGCCATATTCCCACTGCACCGGGCAGTACAAATCCAGAGCATTACACAACCAGAAATATGAGGATCGTCTGAGAGAGAGACAAAAACAGGCATTTAGTATATACAGCAATGTTATATTAGTAAAAATCCTACTTCATTTTCATAGAGAAATTGATTATTCAAGATAATGTACAAATATTTTAACACTGACTTACTGGGTGCTCTAAAGTTTGCTGTTTAAAACATATTAATTTCAACTTCATTAAAAAAAAGTTGTCCTTAATTGCAAATGTATATGGATCACTGGAGCCCCGAATGCTGACTAGACAATGCAGTGTTCCAGTGAACTAAACTACACAAAATATGGTACTCTGTATATCACTGCATAACAGTTTACATTTATATGCACATCGTCTGTAGTACAAACAACGTATAAGCTCATGTGAACGTCAGGTCTTTAATATATAAATTTATTTTGAGGTGTAAATTGCATAAAATATATAATACTTAGAACATTTTATAATTATGTTGCTAGCGCTAGCCACGCAACTGGCCGCAATTGTAGTCAATTGCAAATGTGCAGTGTGTGCTGTCAAGTTTGTGCAAAACCCAACCTAAAAAAAAAACATGAATCACACAAATGAATCACAAGTTTTCAACCATGTTCCCGAAACCTCATGACGGTGCACATTTTGCATGTCTCCTTAATCAGACCCACACCTGATTCAGACTCCAAGACCTGAAATGGGTGTGTAAAAGGAGACATTAAAAATGTGCAAGGTTCAGGAGGCTCCAGGAACAGGGTTGAAAACCACAGTATTAAAGTATATTATGTATTTAAGTTAATTTTGAAATCCATATGGAGAAAAAGAATGGGGGAAAAAATTATTCCAGAACAAAGCCTGCTAAATAAGTGAACCATCCCTGATACTTCGATAAATCAAGTTTTATTAATTGATGACTACTTTGATAAACCAATATGTGACCCTGGATCACAAAACCAGTCATAAGGGTCAAAATTGAGATTTATACATCATCTGAAAGCTGAATAAATAAGCTTTCCATTGATGTATGGTTTGTTAGGATAATAGGACAATATTTGGTCGAGATACAACTATTTGAAAATCTGGAATCTGAGGGTGCAAAAGAATCTAAAAATTGAGAAAACCTCGGCGTCCAATCGCAGGCCTCCGATCCTTGAGTTCTCTCCAGCGCGGGAAAGCTGATCCGATATTTACACGGGTCCTACTTCTTGCCTTATCGTTCCGCAGACGTTTCCTCCTTT